CCCTAAACCCTAAACCCTGCAGTCAAACTGAAGCTTGCAGAGCCATCTTTGTATTTCTCAACATCGGCTGTCAAAGCCCCTTACGTTCCTCTGAGTGATACGGTGGATGCCTGAAATTCCAGCATGACCATAGATACCTGAAACCTCGGGAATGATGGCACCGAAGTATAGTAAGGTCATGCAAGATTTTCTAAACTCAAACCTTAAACCTTTCATCTAATGCCAAAAGTAGAATACCCAAGCTTAGAGGATCTCGCGCAGTGGGTCCCATGAAGAATCTTCACCTGAGCCATAATGTAAGCTCCTGAACGCCGGGTTTCATGGCGGATTATATAGGGGATTATATAGGGGACGATTATGGGGATTGTTAAGGAGGATACTAGAAGTTCAGGCTAAAGCTCACCTAGCTGCAGACAAACTCAACGTCGCTTGAGACCTGCATCGTGCTCCAGCTGCACATCGTTTCGGACATGAAGGACTTGGTGTCACCCACCTCCAACCTTGATCATTGAAGGGACTTTACAGGTTAATGCAGGTTTTTGCAAGAATTCTTGGCGGTCTACTACGGTTTGAGGAGGTTCCGCAACAGGAAGTAATCTCAGAGACTCCAGCTTTGCTGGAGACTACAGGAGCCCTACAAAGACATCCTTTTGATAAACCCCTTGCGAGACCATTGGGCAATCCATCTCTACTCCTGCCTCACTTAATAAAGATTTCGTTAAAATACGAAACAGCTCAGCTGAGCTGTGTTTGGCTGCCCTTCAGAACAAAGGCACCTACTGTACCGGGGGTACAACACAGGAACTAGGTGCTAGAAACTAATTACCTACGTTTGACTAAGCAGCAGCGCAAGGGCGTCAGCAGTCAAATGGTTGATCAGCTCATCTGCGGCGGCTGCCAGTTCAGGAGGAGTCTTGCAAGAACCCGTGGAGGCTGCATCCTGCTTAACAAATAACCCCGAAGCATTCAGGCAGACCTTACAACTCAGTGTTTGGGTTTCTCCGCAACCTACATGGCAATGGACATTTCAGTGGTGAGGTTGAGGGCTCTTTGCCTAAGAGGTTCCGGCATGGAAGAATGATTCAATTAAAGAGCCCGCAACTCGCTGCAACTGGATCCTATCTTATCTTGTCTTGCGGGAGCATGCCTTTAAAGAGTTTGCAGCCATATCCCAATCGGAGCTCTACGAACAGTCAGGGAATCAGTTGGGAACATGGGGTTGCGGCACCCTCTTGAACCCAAGCACCAGAACCCTGTTGGCACGTTGTGTTGAATGATGTGTCCAATGAGATGAGGCCCAGCTTGCTGCAGTCCTGGTTCCTTGGCTCCTCAAGCCAGGATGAGGATGCCTCTTCTGTGCTTGGCTCTGCTGTAGCCAGGGCCTGCGCGTCCTCGGCATCTACCTCCTTTACTGCCTCAGCACCATGGCAAGTCTCCACACATCAGATGTGGCCGCTAGGTGTGCTGTGATCATCCTGTGGCCCCGGCTGGATTTCCCGAAGCATCCGTGTCCTCCTCCGTCTGTTGTTTGGCCTCACCTTTCTCGTGCACTTCTGCTGCTGGAACCTGCAAGGCAAAGCAAGCAGATTCTGACCCATGCTCCAAACGTGATGGCCACAGCCGGCGCCACAAGCAGCTCAAGCACATAATTACATTGAAATTGCACATGCAATAATTTCAAATGCCTATACGTACATAACCAGGTGGAGCACTCGTATGCTTTTCACTTCCATTTAGCTTCATCGGGAAGAGGTCCCATAAATTTGTAGAATTCAACTTCAGGGTTCGTTTAGAGGAGGTCATGAACAAGCCCCACATGCTTGTGATGGCCTCCAGGCTAGCAGGAGGCTCTTCCACAGGCGTGGGTTCAACCCATGCAGGCTGCGCCTGAGGACTGGACATGCACGAGCTCTGTGTAAATGACAAGTGACGACCATGAAGGACTAGAGACAACAGCTAGGTCCTGGCAGCTGGGTTGAACTTGCAATTTTACCAAATTACTGTGCCTGATTCTTGTGGGGTCCTGAGTGACGTATCAAAACCTTCTGCGGGAAGGATGGGGACTGCCCCGTTCTGGCACATCGTGGTATCACGAGACAAAACATGTCGGCCTTTGCCTGCAAAGGACTCACCTGCGCTTTGCCTTCCTCAGCTGCGGGAGCCTCCTCCGGCACCTGGCCATAAAGCCACAGGCGGAACTTCCAGCGGCTTTACTCAACTAGTGGGATGTTTGTTGGGTAGTTATACCTGGTGCTTTATGAGTGGAGTGACTGGATTAGGAGTGATGGACTTTCGAGTGTGATCTTTGCCTCCCTGACTGCTGTAGTTAGGGAGGCATGTTGCGAAGCACTAGTGTCATCTACAATACCAGTTCTCATGGACTCTTGGACATCACCTGGTCACAACTTTCCCCCACCTGCAACCCTACAAGCCCCTATCTAACACTGGATCCCATTTCATCTTCCGTTTCCTCTCCAGTTGATTCTCCATTTGTTGAAGAAACATCCTTTAACTTTTACATGCCAATAAAACCCTGCACAACCCCTAGATAACCCCAAGATAACTCCCTATATACCCCTATAACCCCGAAACCCTAACGCCAATATAGTAGCTTCCATGCTCTCTTCCCGTATCCGTATATAACCCTACATGTCCCCTCTAAGAAAGTTCTACTATTATGTACATAGCCCCTACCTAAAGCCCCAAAGTAGGTAAAATAATGGCCCAAAACCGCTAAAGATAGCCCAAAGGCCATTATTCTACATACTTTGGGGGTCCAGGTAATACTTCACCTGAACTCCTTCCTGCCTCCTTCATGGGCACGGCTCTGATTTTCTGCTGTACGTTGCCAGCCGTCGCCTTGCGAGTCCCCCCGCTACGGTTTAGGGTGTAGGGTTAGTAAGGGTTTAGGGTTTTTTTCTCGGGAGAAAGGTTTAGGGTTTAGGGTTGTTTTTTGTTTTTGCACGCCTCTTTTGTACCTGCACGAGTTGCACAGGACAAGATGTCCAGGCGGTTGCTCCTCTAGGGTTTACCTAAAGCCCCAAAGTAGGTAAAATAATGGCCCAAACCCCCTAAATATAGCCCAAAGGGCCATTATTCTACATACTTTGGGGGTCCAGGTAGGGCGTAAGGTTTCCAACCCTTCAGACTTTTACGTCTGCTCGCAGCAAAGGGTTCAAGTTTGGACCCGGGGTAGCAAACTCAGGACACAGCTTAGGGTGCAGGGTTTAGGGTTTAGGATTTAGGGCTTAGGGTGTAGGGTTTCGGATTCAGGGTTTGAGGTTTCAGGGACTTTCTAGATCCTCCCACGGATCTGAGATTGGTCCCTCTGAAGGGGCTAAAAGACAATGGAAACTACCAACCCTAAGCCCTCCATTGAGGGCGTAAAGTTCAAGCTCTAGGGAGGGATACGTGAGGGTTCCTAGGCGTAAACTAAATAGGGAACATACGAGCAATTTCGGCGTAGACAGGGAGATACATGGTTTAGAGTCTGGGGCTTAGGGTTTGCGAAGATTGGGGTTTCCTCTTGGGGCCCTCATGCAAGGATTTCAATACCTTGAAACTCCCATATGCTCCCACTCCATGCCCGCTAGGGAATATACCTTTAATTATACGAGGCCCCTTAATGGTTCAAGGTAGATTCCCTAAGTAATGGGTATATACTAGACCTTTATATATTCCTTAAGCCTTAAGTAAGGGTTTAGGGCTCGCTGGGTACTAAGGGCATCCGGGAGGATGGGTAAGGTCGGGCTTTGCTATTTCCCGATGGCACGCGTAGAAGCGGGGGATAGGAGATGGCTTCTGAAGGTGGGATCCTGGGAACCTTATGGTGAGGCTACTTACCAGGGTTTAGTGGAACAAACCCAAGCCCTAAATCCCAAAGACCCCAGCGCGCACCTCCGAGGGGAGGCTCGGCATAGATCGGCTTTCCGTCATCCGCCTCGAGCTGCGAGGCATCATCGAAAGCTTTCATGGCAGCAGTTTTGGGATCTTTCTTTCGCGGGAAAGGGGGCGGAACAAAAGTGTTGTTTGCTGCAGAAACACCGAGTATGACTTGAAACCCTACTACTTGGAATTTGTCATCAGCCATGCCCGGAGGAAATGCTCGCCGGGCAGCGGAGGAAGCGGCAGTGCTTGACGGGAGGGCCTCTCGATCATCTGGGTTGCTGTTAAGGAACTTAAATTAGGTTACTATATTGGGGAAACCCTATTATTTACTATATGTATATATATATACCCATTATGGTAACTTAATTTAAGTTCCTTAACAGCAACCCAGTCATGGGGCCATGGGGAGCCAGCCCTACTTTAGACAGTTTAGAGGTGGGCATTTAGCAGGGGTACGGATTGCCACAACCCCACTAAGGGAATTTTAGCCCGCCTAGTACCCCTTGTGCAAACGCTCTGATTCCTGTTGTTAAATCGGACCTGGAGATTCACCGTAGCGTCTAAATAGAATAGGTAAGTGTATCCAACTAAAGCCATAGTTCTGGCATACTCTGGCATGATCCCACTTCTGAGCCTACGCCGACTTACTCCATCCTCCATGGCTGAGCCATCGGTTTGTTGACCAAGCTGGTCGTGCTACTCTGCTGAACGTTGCAAACGATGGATGGTAAGGGGGGCGGGCGGGGAGGCTGGCATGGGGCATAATCCTTGGCTTGCTCTTCGGCTGCCCTTCAGTGTTACCAAGTCCCCATAAAACCTCAACGCGAGATCTCATGTAGCCAGCACGCCATGTCTATATTGTTGAGCTGGAAGCCTGCAATCACCCCAGGAACTTCGAAGCATACCGAAAGCCTGTGTCGGGCAAACGAAAAAAACCACTACAATCCCTCCTACCCCTGGCTTTGAGAAACCTAAGCTACCATGCCACTGTGTAATCTGCCTATCACGTTCCGAACCCTGCAGAGCCCTTTGCAAGTGGAGCAGGTTCGGCGTGCGGCATGTACAAGACTCTGGCACGTTTTCCCCCGGCCAATTGAGCCCTACAGGACGGCCCATAGTCCAAATTGCGACAGACAAAGCCCTGCGGCCCTAGGTAAGCATCTTTGATAAACATTCGTGTTATTTGCTATGATATAATGGCAGCTATAATCGACATGGCAGCAGCCAGAAGCGCCCAATTACATAATTCATCAAGTCGAAACCCGACCCCCTTCGCCCCAAACAAGGGTGTCCTTCAACCTTGTAGGATAGACATTTTATGTCTTCGAGGGACAATATAACCCCAGTTTCAAGTTCAAGTTCCATGTGATTGCCCTAGATCCTTAACTTGAATCCCTGAAGCCTGTATCACATCCAGGTCTCTGTTCGCAATCCGTGTTTTGCGAACCTTGAAACCGAGCCCCGAACAGTAAATGAGCTATAGTCTAAACTCCTAGTATCCCCCTTAATTACCCCTATAATAGTCCCCTATATAATCCCTATATAACCCCTTTTCAGGAGTTTAGACTATAGCTCAAATAGTCTTAAGCCCTGACCGCTTTTGCGAGCCTGGGCCTGTATCCGCTGCAGGAGCTTTTGGGCGAGTAGCTTTCCTGCGGCAGCTCCGGGACTACCTGAGCATTTGTAGGTGGAAAAAGAAAATTTGTGCGGATGGCAGGGGTCCCCGTATACACACCCAAAATTTTGTAATCCTTATCATAGAAAAGGACCCCCTAATTGTTGGACACACCCCTGTCTCGGGTTAGGATCTGTTTCATGATTTCGTGCCGCTCCCTCCCACCTAGCTGCAGGGTCTAGGGCGTTTGTTTAAGCCATCGGACGTCTCGCCAGCTGCCGCAGGGTGTAGGGTTTGGGGTGCTTCTGGCAACCATGCAACTTCTCATCCAGGTCTCAACTCCACACCCTCAATCCTAAAACGCAAATCCTGAGCCTAGACCCCTCAATCCTAAACCCTAAACATCATGACCCTAAACCCCCCAAACCCGGAACTCTTACACACCCTTGGAACCCCAAACCCTGTCCTCCCTGTAATTCCTGAGATGGAATATCGGAGGTTTGGGTGGCTCGAACATTAAATCAAAAAAGCCCCGAGTGCTTGATCCTTGTGTGATCCACAGGCTTGAGCGCTACATCCTGACCTACACCTCCGGCCCTGAACCCCGAAAACTCATCATGGACCTCACATCTGATCCAAAAAAGCCCCAAGCCCCTGACCCTAAACTGCCCTAAATCCAAAAAAACTTGAACCCCTAACCCTCTGACCCTAAAAACCCTAAACCCTAAACCCCTTAGCCCAGGCCCGTGGCCTTCTCTGGCAGCTTCGGAAGTCTCCGGGGCCGGGAGCCTTTCTCTGGAAGCTGCTGGAGACGGCCAACGTCCTGGCGGTGCCTGAACCAAGGCTTCCCTTCACAGATTCTTTTTGGGCTCCTTTCGGATAATGGAAAAGAAAATGGAAACTACTATACTGGGGTTATATAATATAGGGTTTGGCTCCTTTTGGATAATGGAAAAGAAAATGGAAACTACTATACTGGGGTTATATAATATAGGGTTTGGCTCCTTTGGGATAATGGAAAAGAAAATGGAAACTACTATAATGGGGTTATATAATATAGGGTTTGGCTCCTTTTGGATAATGGAAAAGAAAATGGAAACTACTATAGTGGGGTTATATAGGGTTTTGGGTTTAGGATGTTTGTATAGGGATAATGGAAAAGAGAATGGAAACTACTACAGTATATTGGGGGTATATGGGGATAATGGAAAAGAACAAGGAAACTGCTAAAATTGGGTTCTATAAAATATCAGTTGATTCTGATAGGAATATTAGATACTTTTAAAAGTACTACATTCGGGGACCTCCTCAAACAAATTAGATAGGTGGTTGTCAAATCATGGTCCCTTTTTGGATCCCTACTATAATACGGCACCTAATATTTAGGGTACGCAAGAAGGGGCCATAATTTTGAGAACCACCCAGATGGAGGGAGGTCAGCTTTTTTTCAGCGCAGGGCACACGACTGCCAGCATCATCCAAAAATAGCAGAAGTGCTAGCCAGCAGAAAAAGCATCACAGGATCCCTACTTACCTTTGGTCAGCTACAGTAGGAAGGAAGGAAAGGATCCTTATAGTAGTTCCTATATATAACTTAACTCATTATAGTAGCTTCCATTCCTTCATTCCCAGCTACCAAAGCTAAGCCCATGCAGGCCTGCGGTAATCTTTCTCCAAGCCCTGCAGGTTGAGGCTGCTCTTCACAGATAGAAGTCGCCGTACCAGTGACTGGTTCTCTGCCTGAATGTGCTTCTGACGTATCTGCCGATCGCGCTGCAGCATCTCACGGCGGGTTCCCAAATGACGGTTGGCACCCTCCGAGACCTTTGAGATGACGCTCGGCTTTTCCACTATCTCCTGCAAGCAGGCTGCTGCTTGTACTTATAAAGGCTTTGGGAGTCTGGGCTTTCCAGGGTACTGAAATGCATGAAGAAATGGATGCTTCAGATTTACCGTCCTTCAACCGATGCACCAGGTGGCGGTTTTCGGACTCAATGTCCCTCCTCAACAGGGGCATTGGACCAAGGGCGCTATGTTGCAAACTCTGTCAGCAAAAGCCCACCACAACATCCCACTAGGAATTCAAACCGGCAATGCCGCTCCTCATCTCATGCTTGATGAAATCCCGGGCTTTCTCTCGAGCCTTGCGCACGCCCGCATCTGCAACGCTTGGATCTGACTGGTCGGTCACTTTTGTGACACCTGGCAGAGTGCAATGAAACTTGAGCATTTATCAAACGAGGGTCGCATGGTTCACACCATTTTTGTTAAAGCAACCTTCCAGGGACACCCCGAAATCCACAGTTTTGCAGAACGCAATCATCGGCCTTCCAAGGCTCGCAGATGCTGCTGCATACCCAGCTTCCAAATCATCTTCCGCTGGTCTGCGTCGGACACGTAGGGTGCCACAACGGGAACGGGCGGAACCACTTTCGGCGGAGGCGGCACAAACATGCTTGGGAAGGTGGGACATCGAAGTCAAACTATGTACATGATGGGGAAAGGCTGGAGCCACCAGCTGCCGCGCACAAATCTGCAACAAGGTTGAATGTCATGAGCATCGCTGTCCAACTACATTATTGGGGGTTTCCCAAAATCAGGGGTACCGTTTTGGGGGTCGCCATAATAAGGACTATAAGATTCTATATTGGGGTCCCCCTGTTTAGGGAAACTACCTATTACAGTATCAGGAACGAAAATCTTAGAGTGCAATTCCCCAAACAACCACGCCCTAAACCCTAAACCTCAACGTACACCCTAATCCTAAACCCTAAACTCACATCAAGCTGGACTAGCTGTTGCAAGCCCAGGCTGCCAGAACCGGACGCTTTAAATTCAGCTTGTTCAACAGATTCAACACCCAAAACAATGTGGGTTTTGTTCTGTTTTTTGTCGGACCGTTTCCTGAGGTGGGGTTAGGGTTTAGGCTGGAAGCACTTGAGGATTTTCAAGGGCCTACTTGAGGAGGAGTACACGCAGGGCCTCCCATTCAAATGAGTTTGGGAGTTCCATAAAGAGGTGGCTTCCAAAATCTTCTATATCCCCATTGCCCTGACCCCTGATTTTGGGAATTTTTGGAAACCCCAGACCACTGAATCCAGTTGACCATTCTTTGACCGGCAACAGGGCCTGCGCTAGAAAGGGGATCAGAGGAATCGATAATAATACAATATCTTAGCAATCTGCGCAGCCAAGGCCTTGCCCGAGACCCCATTCCCAGAATCCTCAATTGCTATGATTACGGCCCAGTCTCCAGCACCGTCTTGACGCCGAAGGCACGAAGCCAAAATGCGGCTAGCAACAGCGGCCAGAGTTTCCACCACGCCTAGCACAGGGCACTCCTTGTGCCCCTGCATACCGATCTTGAAGGAGGCCCAGCCTCAACTTTATATCAGTTATTGTTACAAGTCCTTGCCTTGGGCTCCATCCGAAAACAACTCGAAATTCTACCTGGAACTGGGAGGAGTAGAGCTGCGCGTTTGGGCCGATTATCAAAATCTAACTGAGTTTGATGTGTGATAACGAGCGTTACCAGGGTTTCCAAAGCCCGGCTTCATGCTGCGCCCCGACCCCTAAACTGGGCTGCTGTTAAGGAACTTAATTTAAGTTACTATATTGGGGAAACCCTATTATTTACTATATTACCCATTATGGTAACTTAATTTAAGTTTCTTAACAGCAACCCAGAAAAAGTCCTCCTTCTGTACATCCCACACAGCACTTCAGATACACAATCTCTAGCCCTCTCTAGCTACGAAAGAGCCTCTGAGTGATCACTTCCCCATAATAGTATTCCCCCCCCCCCCTCCCAGTTTCCAAATGTTCCCAAGACAGTACCAAGAGCGGCTGGGGTGGTTATTATGAGTCGGAAATGACTAGCATCCTGTCTTCAACCTAATTAAACCCTAAATAACATAGTAGCGTCCATTTTCTTGGCCATCCCTATAGATCCCCCATATTTCCCTGTAGGTCCCGATATACGCCCCCCTCTTTCACCCCTAGTTCACTCTTACCATCCCCAAAAATCTCCCCGAAAATCCTCTAAACTACCCCAATATAACATCCTGTGACTTCAGCCCGGACCTTCGGCACAATTCTCAGCAGGTACTGGCGAGTCAATTGAGGATAGCTCTGCTTACCTGGGGATTCGTCATGTTCTATGAGGGTATATGGGGGGTATCTAAGGGTACATAGGAGATATTAGGGGTCATATAGGGGTATAAAAGGGACAGTATATAGGGGTATACATACACAGAGAGAGAGAGAGAGACATATATATATATATATACATATATATATGACTAGTAAGGATATTAAGGGCTGTGTACCCAAAGTGAAAGAGGCAAGGGGCCAAGTCGGTGACCTGCGACGTACGGCCTGTCTGCTGCCCGTGGTCCTCTACCCCTAAGCTGCCTTCCTTCACTGCGAAAATTGGAAAGTGCAAACAAGGAGCTATCTGGCAGGCCGTCCTGTCAGTACAGTGCCGCCGCTGGGCTTTCCCGCTCAAGGTTTCGGAAAGCATGCACAAGCAACACAAGGAAGTCTTTCCCCAGGCTCCCCAAGCTCTCCAAACATTGTCACGGAAGTGAAACAAGCACAGAGGCTAATTCGTGAAACTGACTGCACCCTGTCTGCACCTTGAATTACTTATGGACAAGGCTCGGGAGATGGCAGTGGCTGCGGAGATTCCATAGCTACGAAGGCTGAACAAGACCTGGACATTTCAGGGTCACCTTGTGCCATGGTGTCCTGCTTCTGCACGAAGCGCTGGATTCGCTCATCTCGGCGCTTGAAAAGCCTGGCGGTGGCATGCGGCACCAGCTCACCAGTTGGACCAACGCGGGCTCTTGCGTCCTCGGCATCCTTCTCGGCCTTCTGCTGTTGAGCTCTGCGAGCACGGTGCTGAGCTCGCTTCACAGCTTCAGTGATACCAGGATCAGGCGATTTGGAAGCTATCGCGCGTGTCGCCTTTGCGCGTAAGCGGTCAAAGTATGCGTCCCTGGACCCAGCTCGCGGGGTAGGAGTAGAACCGTCAGACTTCCGCCCAGGAGGTTCACTGCCTCGGCGTCTCGAGCTTGCATGGCTTGTGTGGCTGGCCGGACTTGCGCTGCAGTTGCTGCTGGCTGCATGAGACCAGCGCGACGCCCTGCTGCTTAAGATACTTTGCCAGGAGCTTGGTGGCTGCAGCTTGCTTGGCGGAAGGATCTGGCTTCGCCATCTGGAGCTCGCAACGTCATCCACCCAGCTATCCAGCTCATCGGCACGCACGCACTCAGGCTGGTCGGGCGCAGCAAGTCTTCCAGTTGACGCCGACGTCCGTGAGTGGGTGAGCAAGCCAGCACGACCTACTGCCACTTCCAAGCATGGGCGACTTGGCTGAAAGCAAGCCTGGTTCTCATGAGCTCGCAGAAAAGGCACAGCCTGTGTCTTGGAAGCATCTGCCAGCGGAGAAGGGGCTGGAGTCTCAAATGTATCTGGACTCAGGGATCCTGCTGAAATCCGGCCGCGGCCGACAGGGTCTCCAAAAGCATGCTGCAACAGCTCTTCTTGCCGCCCTCCATTTGACATTGCGCAAGGATATCGAGATTGGAGCAGTTGTTGCAAGGCTGCTACGGCCTTGATGCCATTGGACAAAGCCAACAGCCCCAAGCCAGGATCGGAGCAAATGCGCCTCAAATCCTCAATCTCCCTGTCGCCCTGTGTCGATGCCTGCTTCATGCATGCATAAGGAAGTCGGAACCCGAGTGCATCCAGCAAACTTCCGACTTCAGCAGCTATCAGAGACGCATCTGTCGAGAGCGGCGATCCACGCTGAGGGGCATCTGCCCCTCGACCCAGCAGCGCCAGTCTCGTGAAGCGTTGCTGCAAGGTCTGGATCTTGCCTTGCACCTCTTCTCGTGGCGCCGCGGGCGCCTTGAGCCGATCCAAAAGGCCAGACCAGACGTGAGCTGCGCATGGGCAGTCGCCTTCTCGAAGCAGGCCTTGACACCGGAGCCTGTCTTCCACAGTCTCTGCTTCCACCAGGAATCTGCAGGCCAGCATCTCCCGAAGTCCTGGAAGCAGTTGTAACAGAAGCTCTGCTTGGACTACATGGCGTCCAACCACCTCTGGCTCCTGTCCATTGAATCCCAGCAGAAACACTTCGAAGCTGAGACCTCCCTCCACCGATACAAACAGTGCGTCGCATGCGCCACGCATGGCTCTGCATGGCGGCATGTAACCATGCTGATGTTCTGCGCTCTTGGGCTTTGCTGCTTGACTGACCTGTATCGCTGTCTGCATTCTGCTTAGGTAGATTGCGCTGCTTGTGCTGTCTGCCGCAGCTCGCAAAGAGATGTCGACGCACATGTGGAAGAAAAGTCCCTGGAAATGCATCACATCATCTGACATTAAGCCTCTTGTGTCAGTGGGCGGGCATGGACCAATGAAACCGCAATGGCAAGCACCAAGGACTCAGATGGCAGATTCAAGAGGCAAAATCTGGTCAAAGTTAAGCGAGCTTTGTGCTGGACGCAGACTGCGAAATAGCAATGTGAAAACCAAGACGTAGTTTCCATGAATGACAAGAAATCAGGGTCGTACATGGCAGGGATAAGTCACGACAATGAAGATGATGCTAGTTCTGGGGGGTTACTTTTCAATCACCAACCCTTCAGATGCTGAGTATCTTGCTGATAACAAGGAGCATGCAAACAAAAAAACACACCACGACAAATCGAAACGAGGCAAATGAACAGCCATGAGCTACAACGAGGCACGACGGGCACATGGATACTAATTGCAGCGGCAGGTAGATGAATATTGAGAACTGCTGGGTAGTAACCATTTGCCAGGTGCTTGTGAGGGCACTACAGTAGCACCTCCTCTTCCTCGCTATCGCTGCGATCGTCCCGTCGAGGGGCTGGTTGCAAATAGAATTCGCCCGGCAATATTTTGAGGAGCCGCCTGCAAGACAATGCGGAAGGCAAAGTTCTTAAAACCAGGGGTCCCAGTCCGAAGGCCCAGATATTCCAGCAGTAGAAGGGGACGCCCAAAGCATGTCTGTGCCACCTCCATACAGGCCAAGCAGCCCCAAACCACTAGCTTAGGCATGTGCACAGTCTGTTCAGGCAGGGTCTCTGGTTTGTAGGGGGAACAGAGGGGTTTCCATGTAGACTGCATTGAGGCACCTAAGTGGCAGATTATCAGACCACCAGCGAATAACCTCTGGCCCTTGAAACACGTTTGCCGAGAAGCGGGTGCATGCCGTAGATCTCTGAGTAGGGAGTCACTTCATGCACCGTTGTCCTCGAATATTCATATGGGGAATTCGCAATAGCAAGGTACTCTGAGGGATGCCTAAGATACTCGAGGTCCCCAATGTGTCACGCATACTCATATAACTAGGACCAAAAAAATTCATCCAAGGAGCATCGTCAGGTTGAAACGCACTTTGCGCACCTGCGCTTGAACACGTTGCTGTTGCGATGGAATTCTGGAGGTCAAGTGTGGACATGAGGCATGTTGCTACTATCCGCAAGCGATGAAAATCAAAGCTGCAATGGACAGTAAATAACCTCCACCATACCTATTGTAGCTAGGGATGAAAGAAGGAGCCTAGCTCAAATGCTGCCAGGTGGCATGTTTAAGGGTCCTTCGTTGAAGTACTGGGGGCACTCTGCACTCTAAACTACAAGCCTGTCATCTGCACTGCGTCCATGCAATTCTCATTTCCATCAAAGACGTCACCATGGGCCCAAAACTGGCCTAGGCCGTTCGCACAATTATGCGACCCCTTGGTCGTAGATTATATTAAGGCACCTAGTTGTTAGGGCTACAGAAATGGGACCCAATTTTGGGAAGTACCCTAAACCCTAAACCCTAAATAGTAGTTTCCACTGTCTTTTCCATTATCCCTAAATAAACCCTTTAGACCCCTATCCCTGGATGTTCCTGGCCTTTGAGGGCTGCTCGCAACAGCGCATGAGCGTCGATGGCAGATCATCGAGCTCCACGTGCGGGCCTTGCTCATATTGCTCTAGATAATACCAAAAAAAGATTACTAGTGTAGTATATTGGGTTCTATGTAGGACCCCCTCCATTTATGGAAACTACTATATAACCCCTTTTTAACCCTCTGTATATAGAAGTTTCCATTTTCTTTTCCATTTGATTCTCCACTATGGGGGGTAATAGCCCCTTTTGCTATATACCCCCACATACCCCGGTAAACCCCTATAGAGCCCTATGTGTGTATGTATATGTATATATATATATAAATATACCCCCCATATATCCGTACATGATCCCTGTATAATCCTCGTAGGATTTTGCCTGCTTCGACTCGCAAGGCAGGCAAGGCTTCGACGCTAGCTCGCGGTGCTGCAGGAATGAGGTTTAGGGGTTAAGGTCCCTCAACACTGAGCCCTCGACCCTAAACCGTTGATCTGCGCAATATGCTACTCCTAAAGCCTTTCATATCCCCTCCAGAATCTGGTGCGCGGGCCGATTCAATCGGGAAATACTGAAGATCCGTAATGCCAATTGTGCTTGTGAGGTAAGAGGAAGGAATGTGTGTCGCGTTTTGAATTTTGGGCTTCCTGATGGGCAAGGGTGCACAATAAGAAACAGGACAAGGCATGCTTTCCTGAAACATTAGCACCATTCACGCAATGATGACGTCTATAAGGCTTCTTTGCCGTTCTCCATTGTGATTTGCCTAGCAGGCAATCTTCTCTGGATGCCGGGTGCTACGTTGTCGTTGATATGCCCGGCACCTGGACCAGATGAAGGAGGCGTTAGCTACCAACAAATAGCCACCCACTGGCAACGACACCAGACCAATTGTAATATCCACTTGTGCCCTAGTACAGAACCACCGAATTCTCTTGGATTGCAGAACTCCTAAACGCGTGTGCAACCTGTCCGGCAACGCGACATTGTCATACTGGCAAAATCAAGAAACGAAACCCATCGGAGGCTACATGCGCACTCTCTTGCCCTATATAAATTCGGAGGACCCATTAACCCTCTATACCAATATGTCTATATGTATAATCCCTATAACCCTATGTAGTCCCCATATATTTCCCCGGGAGCACGTGCCTGTAGGCAGAACTGTTGCAAAACTGGTGGTCAGCTTGTCCTGCGGTTAGAAGGGGAAGAATAGGGATGATGTAAGGTTATAGCTTCATAACCGGGTATATAGTGTCTTTTAAGGTTGTATACGGATATAGAAGGATACGGATCCTAATGCTGGAAAATCGCAGGGAGTGCTTCAAGAAAGGAGACAGGGGAACTTGATGCATTGCTGCCACTAAGCGTAGTGACGTCTCGCTTGCACCTTATATGAGCCAATGTAGTCCCCTAGCAACCCTAGGGATATAAGCCCTAAACCCTAAGGTGGGTTTTTTGTTTTTCAAAGGGTTGGCTCCACCATTTTTTTTTCGAAGGGTTGGCTCGA